GACCGATTCCTTTGAAATATATATTTTTTTAATGTGTTTGCTAACGGACGACATTCACTAATCCCACGGTGAAGACTGTGGCAATTTGCCTACAGCTCGGAGCAAGGATGGATCAGAGTTCCAACTCCATCCACCACGAAGCTGGGACGTGGCAACTGCCGCTGGACATTTGAGCCAAGGAACCCCAGAACCTTTCCCTTTGCTCGTGACGCTGATCGAGCAGCTTTAAGGCGGCCGCCGCTACCTCGAAAGGAACTCTTAGACAACATAATCCATCCATAATAGTCAGCCTACGTGTTAAACAACACAATCGATGTCTCCCCAGATGGGATCGCGGCGACAGCTGCCCAGTTGCGATGCGTAACCTCGCAAGCGATTGCACTCGCCGTTGCAACGGTACCGCTAAGCCTTGCGGTTCGGCCTTTCGAGGCCAGACTGGTAAACTGCGTCCAAAAAAAAACCACCACGGAGAAGCTACGCAAGGGGAAACCACCCTTGGCTACAAGGTGACAGTAATCATTGGGGCAACAGCCGTGTGCGCAGTTGCCCAGAACGCGTCGCGACCCAAACCTGCTCAGCGCCGACACGGGGATTTTGCGCTTAAGCCGCGGAGGAGTCGTCTCGTGGAACCTCAAGGCGGACGGCTGGGAGACCTTTGGTTGTCTGGCGGCGGCCGTGGACGCAGTTTGATTGAATTTCGATTTAAAGCTTTCGTGACTGCATGGATTCATCTTCTCGGTTCTTTCGGCAAAGTCACGTAAAAGGGAAATAATAAAATAATAAAAATAAACCCTATTTTATGACGTTTTATTTTCATTATTTTAATAAAATAATAAAAATAAAACATATTTTGTTATGTTTTATTTTTTATTATTTTAATAAAATAATAAAAATAAACCATATTTTATTATGTTTTATTTTTATTATTTTATTATTTCCCTTCTACGTGACTTTACCGAAAGAACCAAGAAGACGCAGTTTGTTTGTTGCGGTTGCACCCGAGTCAAGAGCCGCATGGTTCACAGGGTTATACCTAATAAATGGAACTGAAAACCAGCTGGGAGATCTGTCAAGGGGGGGAGGGGAGAGCGAGCTCGTGACGCTAACAGCGTCGGCCTGCGATGCGCGACGGACTCCGTGCCCCGAGGAGTACTGCACCGTCGCTCACCAACAGATTCCACCTCCCACCACCCCCCCACGGTATTTCGCTCAAGGGTGCTTACGGGACAGTGGCGGAGAGACGGTAGCCGTGGCGTCGTCACAGTTAACTCGGCAACGATGCGATGGGGGTGTGTGCGGGTTTGTGAGAAGGAGATGAGCTTCATAGCTCATCGGATTCCTCCGGTCGAAATAAAGATTCCCGTTCTGATTGTGCGCCATCGTGTGCACCCCGTCACACACGGAGCGATCGGAAGCCAGATTACTCACGGGTGAGATGTTCACCACTCGCCAAATAGCTTGGCGTTATGGTCCCAGCTCGACGACAAACACATTTCCAGGATGCCGTGCGTCGCAGGTAATCCTCTCCTGGTGTGTCATTGCTTTTAACCCACGTCGCATAAGAGTGCAACCCCAGGTGGACACGAAGGAAATGTCAGCCCCGGATAATCTCACCTGGAAAATCTTACCCGGACAATCTTACCTGGATAATCTCACCTGGATAATCTTACCTGGATAATCTCAGCCGGATAATCTTACCCGGACAATCTTACCTGGATAATCTCACCTGGATAATCTCACCTGGATAATCTTACCTGGATAATCTCACCCGGAAAATCTTACCCGGACAATCTTACCTGGATAATCTCACCCGGAAAATCTTACCTGGACAATCTTACCTGGATAATCTCACCTGGATAATCTTACCTGGATAATCTCAGCCGGATAATCTTACCCGGACAATCTTACCTGGATAATCTCACCTGGATAATCTCACCTGGATAATCTTACCTGGATAATCTCAGCCGGATAATCTTACCCGGACAATCTTACCTGGATAATCTCACCTGGATAATCTCACCTGGATAATCTTACCTGGATAATCTCACCCGGAAAATCTTACCCGGACAATCTTACCTGGATAATCTCACCCGGAAAATCTTACCTGGACAATCTTACCTGGATAATCTCACCTGGATAATCTTACCTGGATAATCTCACCCGGAAAATCTTACCTGGACAATCTTACCTGGATAATCTCACCTGGATAATCTTACCTGGATAATCTCACCTAGATGATCTTTCCGAGATAATATCATCTGTATAATCTCTCCTGGATAATATTGCCCGGATAATCTCATCTGGATAATCTAACCTGGATAATCTTACCAGGATTATATTACCCTGATAATCTTACCCAGACAATCTTACCCGAATAATCTTACCCTGATCATCTTACCCTGATAATCTTACCCACACAATCTTACCTGTATAACCTTACCTGGACAATCTCACCTGGATAATTTTACCAGAATAATCTTACCAGGATCATCTTACCCGGATAATATTACCAAGATAATCTCATCTTGATAATCTCACCTAAATAATCTCACCTCCATAATCTTACTCACATAATCTTACCGGTACAATCTCACCTGGATAATCTTTTCAAGAAAATATTCTCAACCAAATCATGTTGTGGTGGTGATGCAGCACATGTTGAAAGCAACTTGACAGTACGAAGCAACAGGAGGGTTTGGGCCACTCAAAATCACAAAGTAAAACAAATATACAGGGTACTTCAAAAAATGTTAACACTTACATGGGCCTATCGTTTTTAATAGAAAGACATGATAACAAATGTAATGTTAATAGCTGCAAAGAGTCTCCACTTGTTCGCCATCATTGTCAACGCGTGCCTGGAATCTTCTCCAGGTGGTCTCCAGAGCCCGGAGGCACATTTCTTGTAGTATTGTTGCAAATTTTCTGAAGTGTTAACATTTTTTTGAATCACCCTGTATTATGCATTCGAATAAAATCACCCGCGATGGCAATTAAAAACGAGCGACAGAGAAAGCAATGGCAGGTTGCAAGAGCATTGTGCATGCCCCAGGACGCGGTTGCCGTGGTTGGCAACAATAAAAGCGGACTGCGACGAAATCACCGATCTTGCTGATATCAGCCAATCAAATGAAGGGGTGCGTGTCACATCATTGCTCGGTCTACGGATCGACGATCGGCAAATGAATCGACACAGCGATTAACCCGCAAAATTATGATGAACCCGGTATTTTTTTACGTGTTTGTTTATTACCGATCGAATGAGCGGAATCGATGCGACTAACGATCCACAACGACCATAAATGGGCAAACACGCGACCCTTCGGCCAAAGCCACGCCCACTTTCTCCCTAATATTTGGGGGGAAGCGTGGGGGGGGGGGGAAATCTCTGATCGGTGATTTCGTCGGGTGTACGATTTTGTAGCTGCAGCAAAGCCTCTTAGGGGATAATCCGCATTCGACAACGCAATAGCTGTCAACCCACACGGTTTACCCCGTATTCTTGTACGGGGAAATTGAGTTTTCAGGTCAATACGGCGTAAAGCCGTTTCAATACGGGCAGCACAAAATGTGTTTGTCTATTTGTTTGTGTTTCTCCCTTGTGATGGGACTTTGTCGGATGCACGTTGAGATTTATAAAGGGCTCGGGGTGACCAATAAGGTCTGAGTTGGCCTGTAATAAGGTAGGCACTGATCAGGGGTTGATAGGTGTGACAACCACGCTGTGTCCCAGCCTCTGTCGCGCAATCGAAGACTAAGTGCTCTCCGAGACTCGAAGTAGTTTAGCGTCTAAAAAAAATAAAGCCTTTGAATATGCCTCAAATGTAAATATCTCTCTTCTGCCAGCAAATTGAAAGCGGCGCACGCAAGTCAACGGGCTGCTGGGACACGGCGCTCAATCTCCCGTGCAACCACCACGTGGAGTGGGAATCGAACCGGCCGCGTGAAGCGCCGCTGGTACACGCCCCAGGCCCCCCCACCCCCCACACGCTCATGGAGGAGGTGGAGGGGGGGTGCGCAACTGTAGCGGAGTGGCCTCGACGTTGTCTCTTTCGTGAAACAAGAAGCAAATTTAAAAAGTACAAAAATAACGGTTCAACAAAAAATATAGGGTGGCGAGTTGCCACTGTAACATCCGCGGTGAGTGTGGGCGCGGCGGTCCGCGGAGGGCAGAGGTCACAAACGGGTTTTGATTCCTTACCCGTACCCGTACCCGGCCGCACCAGGGTTGCAAATGGGTACCCGAAACCCGTACCCTACCCTATACCCGGCTACCCGTACCCGGCCGGGTACGGGTATCGGGTACCCGATTGCGACCTCTGGGATGAAGCCACGTTGCAGGCGCGGGTGGGTTGATTCTAGGAACTTGAATTGTGAGAAGAGACAAGACGTTGGGAAATGAGTGACAAACGGTGACTCACCAGTGACTCACGGTCTACCCGTACCCGTACCCGGCCGCACCAGGGTCGCAAACGGGTAGCCGGGTATCAGGTAGGGTACGGGTATCGGGTACCCGATTGCGACCTCTGGCGGAGGGCGACAAACAGAGGCACGGGTCACAGGGCCCACGGAGGCCCGGGCCACTCCCTGCCGGCCATCACCCGCAATGGGAGACAGACGCCGCGAGCAGCGCAGCACGGCGAGTGTGAGCGCGACACGGGGGTTGTCGCAGCGACCGCTGACCTCCGCGGTTGAATGATTATTGTTCGATCGTCAACTTTGAATAATTAGTGTGAGATCGTCAACTAAAATGAGTCGATAAATAAGCAAATTATTTCGTGATTTAGCTGCTGCTGCTGCTGCTGCATCGCCAGTGGCACGCTAAACAAAACCCTCGGCACAGTCGTCAAGAGCAACACCGTGGCCTTGCAAAGGAAGCGTATATATTAGGTGACGTTTCGGGCAATGGACCTTCTTCATGCATGTGCTATGACGAAGGGGCCACTGCCCGAAACGTCGCCTATTATATACGCTGCCTTTGTAAGGCCACGGTGTTGCTATTGACGACAGCGTTGAGGTTTGTAATATGCCAGGCAGGCAGGTTATGACTGCTAAGAGCATCAACCGGTGTAGCGAACGCTCGTGCAAGCTCAGCACGGACGCTCCTCATCGCTCCCGAGTGCCCCCCCCCCCCGCCCCCTTCGCTGGTGTCGCCGTCGGCTCCGCTACCCGAACTGCCGCCTGCTCACCCAGTTCGCTGACACGGGTCGGCGATCGGAAATCACGAATGTACGGGCAATGTTTCTGAATATTTCAAGGTGGATACGCTTCAATTGTTGTTGTTGTTGTTGGTGGTGGAGGTGGACCCGGCTTGCGTTATCAGGGACTGCCATGGAAGCAAGAAAGTCCGCGTGACTCCTCTCTTCACAGGGAGCACACCCAGCGCTGCCGTCCACAGTTGTGGAACTCGTGAGGCAGCGAACGGCGCGGAGTGATGCAGCCCGCGCAATCTCTACGCCCGCACTGCCTGGACAACGTCGCTACGGCTAAGGCGGGGGGGGGGGGGGGGCAGCCTTCAGCCGAGAGGACCACAGTGCACTTCTTCAGGAGCTGCTGGTGGTTTGTGCTGAATGCACAAAGGGCGGCGCGCGCTTTGCGAGCGACGGGGTGCCGCCCGAAAGCCATGGGCATCCCGGCAGCCCGCGCCATCGTTCCGTTACGGTGGCAGCAGGGATTTCTCGTCGTTTGCAGCTTGGGTTCAGGTGGCGAGGAGAGAAGTTGAGCTCCACACCCCCATCTCCTCCTCCCCTCCACCCTCCACCCTGCACGTCCTGGGCGAGTCGTTCAGTCGGCCGGGTGCTCGGGGCACGAGCGGTTGATCTCAAACCAGGAGTCGATGCAGCTGCAAGGAAGAGCAGCACAGGGCAGCATGGAGTCACCCACGCAACGAAGCCAGCAGCACAACTCTCAGGCGCGTGATTCGTGTTGCACCGCGCGAGCTTCTTCCTGAAGTAGCTCCCAGCACGTGGGGTGAAACGTCGGACATCGTGCCGAAGAACACGCAGTAACGGCACGACGATGCACAACCGTCGAAACCCGCGCAGTATGGAAGCCCCCTGTGGTTACTTTTGTATTATTTAACTGATCAGGGGACCTAATGTAATAAGAGCCTATGTCGGATTCACGGGGTGATCGGCTTTGCCGGTCCCGCTTTACAGCCAATGGGGGGAGAGCCTGGGAGCATGGCCTCGGCGTGATCACGGGATGTCAGCTAGGTGATTGGTTTCGTTGGTCTTGGCCTCAGCCAATGGGAAGACAAGTCGGGGGCGTGGTCCCGGGAGTTGATGGGGAATCTGGAACATTCGGCGCAGGCTATTGAGGATTGGCTGGAGTGTACCACGTGACCCAGGCATTAAATAAGAGGAGAGAGGAGAGACACGTGGTCAGACACGGAACGAAGAGAGAGAGGGGCCACGCGCGAGTGGGGCTCCGGGTGCCACGTGGCGGTGGGTCTCTGGTAGCTGTCTGCCCACTTCCCGTTGCCTGCCAGCAACGGGGAGTGTTTGTGAACTGCAAGAAGTGAAATAAAAGGACCAATTCCACAAGCCGTCTCCAGCGTGTTATTACACTAACACAAGAGCTATTGCGGTGAAGGTTAGAACGCTGCCGGTAAGGTCGGCTAATAAAACACGCACGATGCTGAAAGTGTCCCTGCAAATGACTCAACTGGGATGGCACACAGCAGCGAAAAACTTGTCAGGAACCTCGCGAAAAAAAGAAGTAATGAGACTCGGTGAGGCTTTTCTGGGTAGACAAAGCGCAGCAATAATAAATACAATATAATCTAATTCATAATGGAGCGCCTTCACTCAAGGCTTGGCATAGCTGACACAATGGGGGCAGAATAGAACACTGATTTTAGATGGCAGGAGCGCACCTGCCTTGAGGAACGAGCGACACTTAGGGATGAATAAAGGGGATTAGGGAGGGATGTCAAGGAGTGGAGGGGCGAGGGGTGGCAAGAGCAAGATGAGGGGCAATAGAGAAGATGTATGTACAGTACGAGCTGTACATTGAGCTCGGAGTGGAGAGTAGCGAGCGTGTGGAGTCTGTGCAGGGCGCCTGCCACGTGAGGAGTGCCAGGCACGGGCGTGAGCGCGGCTCGGCAGTGTCCGTGATGACCTTGAGCTGTGTTTGATGGAGCCTACCTCCAGTATTTCATATAGACTACCTCCAGTGTGTCACAGAGACTACCTCCTGCACGCCGGGGCATCTCACATCTCATCAACACATTTGAAGAGCACCCCCAGTGTCAGCTGCCCCTGTGCGGCACAGGGTGACTCATCATCTGTCCTGCAAACGCGCATTATTGTGGCAGTAGGGGGCGATAGTTGCTGTGTGATTCGAAAAGAGTGATTTGGTGAGGGCACGTGTCACGGGAGATGGTGGATGTCACAGGAGATATGGATATCACGGGAGAGATGGTGGATGTCACGGGCGAAGGTGAGTGTCACGGGAGAGATGGTGGATGTCACGGGAGAGAGTGGACGTCACGGGAGAGAGTGTGGGTGTGAATCACCCTTTGTGGTAGACGCAGAGGCACGGCAGGCGGGCGATAGTGTCTCCCAGTTCCAGCTCCTCCAGGCAGATGGCGCACTCCCCGCTGTGCTTACTCAGCACATCATCTTAAAAAAGACACAAAAAAATCCCCGTTATAGCCTTTACGCTTTCACATAATATTGGGGCCAGTTGCTGTTAGCGAGCACATTTGAAGGCCGGCACGGCACACGAAGCGGTGGGTGGCCAGTACCACGCCCAGCAGATCTTTGTCTCCCTCGTGGCGATGTTTTATACACACGGCACCAGGCACTCATTTGAGGCTGAGTCCACCTCGGGGAGGCCCAGGACCAGTTCACATAATTGTCACTGGCGTTGGCCGTCAGCGGCAAATCGAACTCGGGTCGTCAAGCTCGTAGCGCAGCGCGCTAACCGTCACACCACCGCTCCTCACTCCCACAAACTCTCGAGATGTCAGTTACTTGTTCAAACACGGAACGTCGTTTGCAAGAGTGGCCAGAAAGCCAAAGTTCTAGATTTGAAGCTTTCGTGACTGCAAGTATTCATATTCTTAGGTTTTTTTTGGTAAAGTCACGTAGGTAAAAATGTTTTTAAATTAAAATCACGACGTTTCGGAGGCAACACAAGCTTGTGTTGCCTCCGAAACGTCGTGATTTTTATTTTATTTTGTATTTTACTTTTATTAATTTTTTTACCTACGTGACTTTACCGAAAAAAAGCTAAGAATAAGAAAGCCAAAGCTCGCCCCGACTCTGTGCAGGAGTCTTCTCTCTCTGTGCAGGTTCACTGCACGCCGACCGCTCGTTGCGGAGCTGCATGCTCTGCGCGTGTGGAATGCCTCTTCTTCCAGGTACACGGCCAACGCGCCGTAGCAACCATGACAATCACACTGCAGACGACGAATTTCGTTGATTTTTTCGAGAAAGAAAAAAACACTTAATTATTTTATTTTATGTTAATAACTAGCAAGCACGTACGTCCTTTGAACGGGATCGTCCATCGCTCCCTCCCAGTGCCGCATTATCCCAGCAGCACAAGTAGCTACATATGTAGTAGCTACACGTGTAGCTGCTACACGTGTAGCAGCTACACGTGTAGTAGCTACTACTACACGTGTAGTAGCTACTACTACACGTGTAGCAGCTGCACATGTAGTAGCTACTACTACACGTGTAGTAGCTACACGTGTAGTAGTAGCTACACATGTAGTAGTAGCTACTACATATGTAGTAGCTACTACTACATATGTAGTAGCTACGGGCCCCCGTACTTACAAGGGCCCTGCGCTAAATGCTTTCAAGCAAGGCCGTAGCCATGGAGTCAACATTGGGGGGGACCAAATCTTCTAGGGGTCTGGGGGTCCCTCGCCCCAGAAAAAAAAAAATATAAATTTGAAAACTAATTTCCTGCCATTTCCTGCCTAAATTTTAAAAAATTCACTAACACATAGGATGGACTTTTTTTACAATAATGTCTAATAGTGTATTGTATTACATTGCTCTGTTTTTTTTATTTTTGACCTTGTCTTGTTTCATTGTATGTAATGGCAGAGATTAGGCATTAATAAAGTACAACCATAACCACAATCATATATACAGAAATCTATTTTATAGCAATATATTGGGGGGGGGGACATTTTGAGAATATTTGTATATTAGGGGGGGGATGTCCCCCCCCAATAGATATTATAATTACGGCCTTGCTTTCAAGCTATCAATTCCGGTTCAGCGATTCTGCACTTGCTCTATTACTATAGTACTACACCGCCTTCATCTTTTATGAACGACTGGGTGTTTAAGGTTAGCGATTTGTCGTATTATCTGGCTGTATAGCAAATGAAAAAACACAATCACATTTTTGTGTTTAATTTATTTTAAAATTTAGGGCCCCTTTATAACATATGCTACAGGCCCCGCACTAGCTTAATCCGGCACTGCTCACTCCCTCCGGACATGACGTCCAGCCAGCCAGCCAGCAAAACTGCATTCTGTTCCACACTCGTACAGCCGTTAGATGAGATTGAATCGATGCGGTGGTGGTGGCTGCGCTGCACGTGACTGCTGCCTGTAGTGATCCAACATTGTGTGGGCAGCAGCAGCAGCAAGTGTTAGTGGATCACCGCACAGATGTTGTTGTGAAACCTCCCTTCCCGTGGACATGGAGGTGGGGCCATGCCCTGTGCTCGCCTGGAGAAGGCGGTATAGCAAGTGGGACTTAATCGCCATCTGTTTCCATCTGTACGGGGGTAGACTGTTGCCCCCTGGAGCATGTGTGGGCTTTCTCCAGGGTGCTTCGATTTCCTCCCCCTTTATACATTTTAATGAGATTCATCTTAAAATACAAAACCCAGTGCAGGAGCCTCGTGAGAGAGAGAACAAAAAAGGAAGAGAGAGGGGAAGAGAGAGGGAGGAGAGGGAGGGGAGAGAAAAGGGAAGAGAGAGGGAAGAGAGAGGGAGGAGAGAGGGAGGAGAGGGAGGGGAGAGAAAAGAGAGAGGGAGGAGAGGGAGAGAAAATCTTGTGAAATCTTTCATTTAAAAAGGGGGGGGGGCACATAAAGCAAAGCATTGGAAAAAACAAACAAAAAAAACGAAATGATAAACGAAGCAAAGTGCCGACTACACCGAGCATCTTCTTGTTTCCTCTGATCGTACGAAGAAAGAGAGAGAGAACCATACAAACCCTCGTGTGGCTTGCCGCCCGTGTGCGGTGACGTTCATGGTGTCACGATGCTGTTGGTGTGGTGACTGAGTTGAACCACGATGGTGGTTGGCGCCACCTGCTGCCACGGTTTGATACACGTCGCTCTCTATCAGCAGACATGGCTTGCCGTGGAAGCGGACCATGGGAGGGATGGTTCTGCTGAAGGGTTGGAGGTGAGCAGGTGCGAACGTGCTGCTCCGTGTGACTTTACCGAAAAAAACCCAAGAATATGAATCCTTGCAGTCACGAAAGCTTCGAATCTAGAATGAATACGGAAAGGGGACGTCACCTGCAAGGGGTAGCAAGGGGACCCGAGGGGCACGTGATGCGAGCCGGGAGCCTTCTGGCAAGATCTAGGAAGGGGGCGGGGCCGAGGGCGGGGGGGGTCCAAGCTGAACGGGATCGAGAGGAAGTCCCGGGAGTGATCGGGGCTCGTCTGTGGAATCAACCCAGGGTGCTTCGTCTCGTCGTCTTCGGTCTTCGCTCGGCATTGTGGGACAAGCAGCGTGTCGACTGACTGGCACGTTCGTGCAGTTAACCCGCTGCTCACATAGTTAACTGTGTAGCTATCGCTTAGCAGTAGAACCAGTGCACGTTGAGTTAGTTACCCTGTTGGGGAGCTGTTAAATAAACGTGTTGCCTCCAACTCGAGCCTGTGCCTCCGTACATCGCACTGTATTTGCATACGTCAATTACCACGTCACAATCCGCACGTGCGCGTCCACGCGTTACGTGTGCAGGTTGTGTTGCCCGTAAAAACCCAACTCACTCGTTGTTGTTTTCATCTGGAATGAGAAGACGGGGGGGGGGGGGGGGGGGCTGGAACCAGTTGAGACACGCGCTGCTGGGGAATTGTTCTTCTGCGTGAACCGATGATCGCCATGGAATCCTGGCGTGCATCGGTTCCCCCGTGGTTGGGTGTGCCGGGGGTGGCCTGGACCGCATTCGGTGCGACGCGTCTCACCGTTGTAGGTGATGCGGGGCTTGGCCAGGCACAGGGAGATGTGCGCTTCCATCTCGTCGGCGATGAACGACTTGGAGCACAAGGGGCACTTGAACCCTGCGAGGGTGAACACGCGCAAGCACGAGCCCAGGGTCGCCACCTTTTCCGTAGAGAGAGAACAAAAGAAACAACAAAAAGAAACTCCCCCGATGTATTTGTCGCTCGGCACTCGGTGCTGTTGTCGCCAGAGTGCAGCGGTGCTGCGATGAAGTTCCCGCAGCATTGCCAGTACCAGAGCTCGCTACGAATAAATTCCTGCCACCAGATCACGGATGACGATCCCTGGACCGTCCCGATTTGATTAAAATTCATCGCAGCGATAGCACTATCAGAGCTCGCGACGAATCAATTCCTGAAACCAGAACACGGATGGACCGTCCGGCTTCGACCATACCGCATACACGCCGCACGCCCTTGAACAATAGTGTAGCTATTTATCCAGGAAAGCCACCCTGAATCATGTGACTCTTTTTCACGAAGATCCTGCATTGGGTTTTTATTTTAAGATGTTTTTTTTCTCCAGCCAATTCATGGCGAGCGGTTGCTGCTGCGGTCGCTGTCGTGGCCGCGGCTCGCTGGAACCCAGCCTAGGTTGCGCTGTTGCTTGCGAACATTTCCTAAATATGCTTAGCACATCCGAGTGTCACACACGAGTAGGATGCGTCACACTAGAGTGTCACACTGTCCACCGCACGTGAAGTGAATCTTCCAGATCGATGCGCGACGACTGTCAGCTGCTGCACGGCGCGTGAAGTCGTCCAGACGACGACAGCTGGCGGTGAGAGACGGGGCCCTGGGGATGCCGGCCACGAAATTTACCAAACCGCTGCCATGACGACACGCGATCCTCCCTGGCCCTGGTTTCGCTGTGGCCTGAAATAAAATCCGTGAGTTGTCATCACGCGGTGCCGAAAAATGCCACGGGTTTTTCATGGGATTTGTGCAACGTCAAGGAATTCGCGGATAACGTTTGCCGCTGATGGGATTGGAAACGCGAGCGCGAAGACCCGAATGTGTCGCGCAGTTGCAGTGTCCCTGAACTCTTATTTTTTAATCAACGTTCTGGACTCCGGGGCGTGACGTATCCGAAGCGTGGACTCTCCTCAATATCCACGATGAGAAAATAAATGCGGGCAGGCGTCGCGCATAACGAAGCAATGAGGCCCGGGGCGCCGGGGATCGCTCCACATCGACGCGCCGTGAATCACCCACGGGACGGCGCGGGGGGGGGCGGGGGGGGCACAACATCGATCACGAGCCGAGGCTGAAAGAGAAATTATCGCATTAATGGTTGGCAAGTGCCTCCCGTTATTCAAGCCAACGTCTACCAGCGCGCGGGAGGGCCCAGCACACGCCCGGGGTGAATTTTTTCACGTGAAAGCCACGCGGAGGCATGGACGTGAACGCACGCGGACGCGGGTGACGACTTTGTCCAAGCTCTGGCACCTCAACCAAGCATTGACTTGTGCTCCCGCTCCAATTGAGCAGCGGTGATCACCACGCCGTGCAGCCCTTTTGTCAATGCACAGCTGGATGAGCACCACCCCTGCAAGACGCGCAGGTCATTTGGGGGGGGGGGGGGGTTATATGACCATACTTCACCACGCTGGTCAACGTGGATCAATGAAGAGGGTGTTCAGAATATTATTCACTACCGAAGTTTGCCTATGGCCGGAAATCAAACGCGGATCTTCAGGCTCGTCGTGCAGCGCGCTAACCGCTGATGATAGTATGAGGATGATGATATGGCAGCGTGACAGCGTATAACGTCAGTGCGCCTCACCCCGGCTCAATGTCAGGCATCCGGCCAGCAAGACTTATATATATATAATACCGTCCGATTGTGCACTGAAGAGGCTCATCACGTGAATTCGCTCGCTTGATTTCGGGAACCCCGTGGAGGTCGCGTGGTTGCATGGGAGAGGTCACCAGCGTCGTGGAAAGCGCTTGGAGTTGCTCCACCAGGAATGTGGAGCCCACTTCTGATTATTTTTCCAGATCCAGAAAGGCATCTTTGTACAAGTCAGGCAGCGCACAGTGGTGCCGTGGGAAAGTACGCTGGGTGCCTGCGCACGCCGTAGCAGGAACACGAAGCGGCGACGGTGTTTTAAAATTTGATTTAAAGCTTTCGTGACTGCAGGGATTCATCTTTTTTGGTTCTTTCGGTAAGGTTACGTAGAAGGGAAATAATAAAATAACAAAAGAAAACATAATAAAATACAATTCTCACGACGTTTCGGTCACAACGCAGGACGGCTGCTTGCGTTGTGGCCGAAACGTCGTGAGAATTGTATTTTATTATGTTTTCTTTTTGTTATTTTATTATTTCCCTTCTACGTGACTTTACCGAAAGAACCAAGAAGACGGCGAGGATGTCCCTACCCCCCTCCCAACCCCGTCCACCCCGGCCGGCCAAATCGCGCCAACGAAACGGCGCCACGAGGCTTCCGAATGACCCAACACGATTCGATAATTGATTTTTTACCCTTCTATCTGGCAACAAAACTGACACCTCATTTTACAAGGAGTCATGTTTGCATAGACCACAATACCTGCAGTCATAATGCAAATAAAAAACATAACTCTGATAATGTGCACTGTCCTTGAAGTTGATTGGTCCACACCCGAGACAGCTTTCCTTAGAGCCTAGTCTCACATGGGTTGGACCAGATGACGCCAAAAGGCCTTATTGCAAACATGATGCCTTGTATAAAGGTGTCAGTTTTTGTACCAGTTGAAAGGGTAAAAACCTATTACAACAATCCATTTACCAACAACCCATTTAACAACAACCCGTGTTTTTTTCGGAATGACCCCGACCTCCAACACGATTCGGTAATCGTCGAGTCCAGCTGCGGCCATGCGAGGTGAACACGGGAGATGGACGGGCCTCTTCGTCTGCAGCATCGACCTCTGTGCGCTCCGGCCAAGTCGAGCAGCTCGGCACAGGTAGAGTCGACTGCCCCCCAGTGTCGGGTCATTCCTCGCTGGGAGTGTGATGCGTGGCGAGTGTCTGGTGAGGGTGAGCGTCTGGTGAGTTGCGAGTGAGATCAGGCGAGTGGTGTAAAGTGACTGGTGAGTGTGAGGGGTTGTGAAGTGAGTGGTGAGTGTGAGGGGTTGTGAAGTGAGTGGTGAGTGTCTGGTGAGTGGTGTAAAGTGAGTGGTGAGTGTGAGGGGTTGTGAAGTGAGTGGTGAGTGTGAGGTGAGTAGTGTAAAGTGAGTGTCTGGTGAGTGTTGTAAAGTGAGTGGTGAGTGTCTGGGAAGTGATTGTTATCAGGTGAGGGGTGTAAAGTGAGTGGTGTAAAGTGAGTGTTGAGTGTCACCAGGTGAGTGGTGTAAAGTGAGTCCTGAATGTGAGGTGGGTGTTATAAAGTGAGTGGTGAGTGTGAGGTTGGTGTTGTAAAGTGAGTGCTGAGTGTCTGGTGAGTGATTGTTTCCCAGGTGAGTGGTGTAAAGTGAGTGGTGAGTGTCTGGTGAGGGTGCCAGGTGAGTGTATTGGCCGAGCGTCGCGATGAGGTGGTGGTCACGAAGCGTGCCCGCGTGGTGGACAGGCCCTGGCGAGCGGTGAGGGCCCAGTGCTGGTCACCAGGCCCCTCGGTGGCAGTGGCCACACGAGGTGTTGGTGCCTTGCACGGAGTGAGTAGGCTGGGTGTATGTAGTTGTGGCACTATAACAAGGTAGCGTTATACGACGGAGTGCAGCTGCATCATCGTATGAAGTATCAATTGCCTCCCTTGTGTGCGTTCAAGTGTTACATGGTGTAAAGTAGCAACCTATAATATTATAATTTATTGGTTCTTCCTATGATGATATAATTAGTATGACGACGACTCAATTATAATTAAGGACGTGGACTAAAACTGCAGTACAGTCTGTCTTTTGGTAAAATGCATATTTTACCTCTTCATCTTAGTAAACTAATGTAAATACAATGTCAGTTTCAAGTAATGTATTCTAAGACAATATCCAATAATTTCCATCTTATTTGTAAAGGTAACTAAAAAAACATAAATATTCCACAGCTCCCTCCTTTCACCTGCTGCAATCAATGCAGTGACATATACAGGGATGGACAGGGATGTGGAGAGATGTACAGGGATGCACAGATACAGGGATTGCAGGGATATGCATGGATGTTTGCAGAAGGCGGAATAGTGCAGTGAAGCCACTGTGAGCACGGCAACACAAGAGCTGTTGTCAAAGCACTCACTCCTGCAAGTGCTACATGACACGAGGAAGACCAAGCGGGGATATGCATGGATTCTGTCATTCTGTTCAACGGCATGAGTTTGTCCTCAGGAAGTGTTTAACAATCCATAATAAGCACTCGTTCGTTGGCTGAAAACATCTTAATATGTCGAGGACCGCAGAGCTTGTTGGGAGAGCCGTCTGCGATCAAGGGATGGCTCCCTATTGGCCAACCAAGTTATGTATGCCGATGATTTGGTAATAGCTGCTCATTCAGAAGAGGAGTTGGAGACGCTGCTGCTGAGACTGGAGCGTGCCAATAAGAGATGGGGCCTTACCATCAGCCCCACCAAAACTAAGCACCTGCTTGGGTATTTTGTACCATCGGACACTCCACCCCCACAACTCCCAATCGGTGATGGGGCAGTAGTGGAGAGATTGGAGAGTTTCCCATACCTGGGCAGTGTGCTTATGACCGGCTCCAGTTTAACAGCAGAGGTCTCACTCCGAATCAGTCGAGCGGCAATATATTTTCATTGGTTGCGTAACGCTGTGTGGAAGCTACCTGGTCTGTCGCTCCACACGAAGCTTCAGGTCTTCTCGGCCAGTCATTCCCTCCCTTCTCTACGCTTGCGAAACGTGGACCTCCCTAATGGAGCATCTTCGCCGGTTGGAAACATTTAGGCTGGCCTGCCTACGATCCATCCTGGGTTTAACCAGGCTGGATTGTGTGAGGAGCTCACAAATCCTTGAAAGATCTGGGCAAAGTCCCATCGGTGAGCTCCTCCGGCAGGCAAGGCTGCGTTGGCTGGGTCATGTAGCCCGCATGCCCAGCCACCACATGCCTAAACAGCTTTTGTTCGGCCGGA